CACAAAAGGCCACACCATCTTGGTCTTCATACCCACTTCTATCTATATTTTGATTTTGTCTGCATGATGGATCAAGCTTGGGCTGTCTTTAAGTTTGGCACCAACGTTTTTAGTCATCTATGTAAATTATTATTAATCATAAATACTCTGGTCAAGGTGATTGCCTACACTTGTTACTTTGATTAATTGTAATTATGTGCTTTCGATGACATCTCTCACTGATGATGCTGACTACGATGCCGGCGAAACATTAGAAAATGTACCCAGCCAATGGTCTAATGCTGAAATCACGAATACTATAGCAGAGTACGCGGGACTATGTACCTACCACATAGTCGCCCTGACGCGAAAACAAGTTCAAACCAGCACTATGAATACTCTGGGTTGATTTCTTTGTCTTCTCTTGTCCCATTTTTCAAGTTGAATTTTTATTAATTTTTGTTTTGTGAGATATGGGGCTAGTCAACTAGACGCGGCGTTTGTACCAGAAAATAGATCCATAAATAAGCATAATTTTTCGCAAAAATTACTCGAATAAATAAATATTGGTCAACGTAATAATTGAATAGCTTGTTTACATGCGATTTTGTTAAAGCAGTAATTTTTAGTCTGTGAAACGCTTAAATATAATAATACACTCTGCATTTTCATTAATAATATATTCAATCGAATGTATGAAGGCCAAGATAGTGTGGCCTTTTGTGTGGTCACAGTCTCCTTTTGTTGTATAGAGGTTGTTTGACCTTGTTTCGCAACTTCGTCATATTGGTAGGAACGCGCCTAGTCCAGAGTCCATTGTATGCATGATAATTTCGTTTCGCCGGCATCTTCAGTAAGTCTCGCCATTAGCACCACACAACTCGTCAGAGACAAGTGAAGCTGATCCCTTAACCAAACATGTACTAAACAGTTGTGGTATCTCTCATTCTGCCCTAGGCTATTTACATTTCCTATATCCTACAATCACGCCTTCACTGCTACAGTTTTTAACGTACTTATTTCGAAGTAACGGTGTGCTCCTTAAAGTGGCATTCATGAAAAGCCCTCACAATCCATGCTGTCGTTCTAACCCCGTTCACCCTTGTGCTGGGAATGCCGATCAGAGGCCGTCATATTGTTACGCATTCCTCCTTCCATAGATCTTATCACAGTCTCTTTCTTGCCCCGTAAGATCCGTCTGCTATATCCCTGGTCCACGTATTTCACTCGACCCCTACCACTCCATCTGTGCTACTTAAGGCGTTATTCGCCCTAACCTGCGTCTGTGTGACTAATTCGAGTCTCAAACAGCTGAGTTAGGCTCATCGTCAAGCCTTTACTACATGGACTACGTCAATAGTACAACGGAAATGAATGTCATACTATATCGCTAAATCTGCCTTCTTCAAATCTCCTGTTCATTAATTTTTTTCCCAAGGATGTCAACGGCCTCCCTAAACTTCCGTTTCCTTGTGTTTTCACCGTATGAGGCCCTTCTTTCAGTTGCCTCCCAATTGATCTCGTTTCCACTCTGTGCGATGTGTTCTTATAAAGCCTTTTATATTTGATGATCATTATGATGATTCTTCTTCCTGTTTCGCCAATATATCTCAGTTTGCAGGCGCTGAAAGCCATGCAGTACACTCCCAAGCAATAATATTTGTCGATCCTCTCATGCTGCGTAGGTAGACATGTAAAATGTTGTTGTTGCCTTCCTCGTCGCCCAGATATTCCATTTCCTTTGTTTTTTTTCCATTTATACGTTTGTAAAAAGAGATGAGAGCAGCGATCTCATAGAAAGTCCAAATATTTGTTAGAGCTGTTCTCGTTGAATGTAAAATAGATAGTCCATATTATCAAGTTGTGTTAGTGATTCACTCCTGATCCTTTCTGCTTCCAGGATTTCCTCTTCTCGATCCAAGATTTCCAGCAGAACCGTTGACGCTTTTTTTGAATACACGGATTGTACATCAAAACCTACCAACAAGTATGTTTCTTCCAGTCTCATGTTTTGATTCTTTAAGATAATTCATATACGTGTTTCACTTCGTTTTGATAACCTGTCATTTAATTAATTGAGCTTAAAACATATAAACTTTGTCAATTTGTATCATTCCATACTTACTGTTGACTAAAAGCCTTAGTGGTTCAAGTTCTTTGTGCATGTTCAATAATCCCCAGATTGTTAATGGTCGTGCAGCCTTTCTTATGACCGGATATTTTGTCCATGCATCAACTTCCTTGCCCTATGCATATCCTTCAGCATATCACGTAATCTCCATAGTCAGATCCTTCTCTGGTACATGACATGTAATCCTGTCTCTCAGTATGCATTCCAGCTTCTTGGTATATAGTTTTTTTTCCAGTATCACAATCGCTCCTATTTTATCCGCCTGAAGGATTAATTATTCATTCATTTCTATGGTCTTGCTTATCCTGAAAATTATGATACTGTGTTTGAAGAGGTCAGTGGAACCCAATTTTTATACATACAAGTTCCAGTGTGTTGACTCTTGATTTGTCAAGATCTTTATAATTAGTTTCATCTCCATTTCCAATTTTGTCTCCTTAGGGAACTTGTCGGAGATATTAGCAACCTCGACCAGGATATATTCTAATAGGCTTCTTTATTTAAGTGAAAAGTGGAATCCTTTCTTCAGGAGCACGGTGTTTCCTGGATCAAGAGGAAGTGAGGATAAGTTCACTACTTTCTTAGGATCGCCGTGCCGACAAGTAGATGCTATCACCTAGGAAGCCAAATTAACTTGGCTTTGGCTTACGCTGTCTTATATTCCCAAACAAGCAATTCATTGTCGTGTCGTTTTGTTATTAAGTTGGAAATACTACATGATTTCCTGTCTGTGATCTTAGTCTTCATATCTTCGATTAGCTTAGAGTAAACCCAAATTGGTGAAAATACAGTTAGCAAAAGCGAATCTGCTTTCAATTACGCAGAAGCGATTAAGATCCGAAGATATATAAAAGGTAAAGATAAACGGTTCTAATTATGAAGCTAAATACAGTGCAACTAATTAGGTATTAAATAAGTAAAAAAAATCAAGACTATAATTCAGAAAAAAAAGAAAAGCGAGTAAATTACTTACCAAAACCTCTATAAGCTTCTTAACGTGTTCTAAATTACCAGTGATTGCCGCCAAATGTAAGGGTGTCTCTCCTTTCATGTTCGTCTAGAAAGAGTAAACTTCAAAATAACGATAGCAAAAGATTAATGGAATAAATCGAAAAGTTTAAATAGTTCACCTTAAGACAAAGAGCTTTCCCCTGCCTCTTCCCACTAGTATAATGCTGGAATTCTTCTCCCAGTTCAGCTTTACCGAGAAATGCTTTGAGCTCTATAGGAAAAGTTGATGATAAACAAATTTTAATTAAAGCCGAATTAAAAACTAAAGTTGAAAACAGAGAATGATCCGAAGAGCGTACCAGAATCTGAAGACAGGGCCTCTGCTTCATTATCCAAAGCCGAATCCTCTCCAGATGAGTCTTGATCTTCTTCAGCCTGACTATCTGACGCACTAATATTAGGTAAACGGGATAATTCGGCGGAATATGACGTTGCTTCCGAAATAAATGAATTAGATTGGCAAAAATCCACCAAATCCTTGAGGCAATCGATCTGAAAGAAAAAAACATTTTGTTTCGATTAGCCAGAGCTGCCAGGAAGCATGCAACTCAGAAGCCATATCCATATAAGTCTATATGAATATGCAAAAATAGGTCAGAATAGACTAATAAAGTTTGGGCGGGGAATGGGCAAAAGTGGAATGGACTATAACAGTATATTGGGCTCAGAAAAATAAATATAAATGGCACCATAATATGAACCTTGAAAGATAAGCGAATAGGAATCATAGTCAACTAAATAAATGTGTAGCGGTAAGCCTTGGGAGTGATAAGTGCATTATACGATAAATATAGACATGCAAAGAGAAAATACAATATAGCAGGCAGACACATGCCCATCAAATGACTATCTA